CTAGTGTAAAGTCATTAGCAAATGTAATTTGAGTCACTTAATAGTGACTTAAATTAAGTCACTATTAAGAAGGAGAATAAAGCCAAGGACAAAGTCTTTCAGCAAGCCATTAGATTTCTCCCAAGGTGAATTTATTTCTATCAAGTAACCATTTCCTAATAAGGATGATGTTCAACCTGTTACCAATTGACCAAACTGAATTAACATCCAACCTCCACTTCTCTACCTTGTTGACCACTGTTTCTTGAACTATCACATGGTCTTTATGGTCAATATCTACAGCTAAAGACCATTCTAAGAAAGGTTGTCCCAGAAAGAGTTGAGGGTTGAAGGCTGAAGTGCGTATGAGGAAATGTAAATACGGGGTCTGAAGTGTTTAAAATTTTAAAGTTTTAAGGGGAATAGCTCACCTTTCCATTCTGAAGACATTTATGTTCAATATATAAAAAGCAGAAGATAAACAGAACTCCCAACAGCAGCTTCCCTGGACAGCATCCCAACCTCAACCCAATCCAACATTACACAATGACAGGTACTCAAAGGAGCAAATAGTATTCATATGTAAATCCATCGCTTGTCCAGCTTTCTTCATTGGATTGGGAGTTGCACAAGAGCATGGTTTATACCTTCCCTTGCCTTTTTCTCCATCTGCTAGAGCAAGGCATTAGTGTTCTTTCTGCCTTGGTACCTGCATTAAAGAGGAAAGACTGGCCACGGTGATTTCAGTCTTTTATTTTAAAAGTTAGAGACTGAGGCTCTACCCTACTAAGTCCTAGTCCACTGATGGCCCAGAACTGTGAGTCTATTTAATATTAATCCATTCATCAACCTCATTGCTTGATCCCACAGAGGGGTGACTTGTGCCTGTGGAGAAAAAGACCCTTTGCCTCAAATATAAACAGAGGAGAGTTTGACATGCCAACCATCCTGGCCTGATCCTCTCAGATCCTACTAGCATACTGCTGTGAGGCCCCCGCAGAGCCAGTAAGGCATTGTGGGTAACAGAATGCAAAATGATGCTGTCCCCCAACGGGCCTCCCCAGGGTTTCTTGATTCCTGGCTCCGTAAAAGCTGAGGCAAGCAGTTTTTAGATTTGGGGGAAGAGGACTGAGAGAAGGGGCGGAGGCTTCCTCTAGGCCAACCACAACTAACTCATTCGCTCTGTCCAACAAAACCCAGACAGTGCAATTATCTGGTTAATTTGGCCCTTGGTTGGGAAACAGGCTCTCAAAATGTGAAGCCAGCTCAGACTAAACAGTGGCTTTCATCTTGAGACTTTTCCCAAGGGCTAAAGGATGCACGTGAGATTCCTGGGGGGTTGCTTGTGTGTCCCACCCATTGATACAGATGGGTAAAGACAAGTGATTCTGATTCCAAGATGGAATTGGAAAGGTATGTCTGCTGGGGAAAAATGCCCAAATGACCTGCTAATTGGTTTCCTGGCTAATTCACCTTCTGCCTTTCACAGAGGGGCATGGCTGGAAATCAGAACAACTCTAAATTAGCCAAGGTTTTTCAGTGTGATTGTAGCTCTCATAGACTGGCTGAGGGTCCCCAGAGCCCCTGGGGGAGTTATTCTTAGAGAAATTCCCTGATGGTCCTGCTCATAGATTTTGTACCTTACAAGGTAGGCCAATGGCATTGCTGAGATAAAATGGGAAAATTAAAACATGCCCCTGGGGGTTCCACAAATGGGATGAGGCAGGGTGAGCTCAGCTGGCAACCAAGCATTTACCAGATGGTTTATGAAAAACCCAGATTTGTGAGGGGAGATTAAGAAGTGCTGACTTATTGCCCTTGGAAACTGACAAGCAGCCTGAAATCTGTGGAATCTGTCAGTTATTCATTCAGCAAATATTTCCTTCAATTCTCTTTTGTGCCAGGCCCAGTGCTACTTAGGGTAAGATCCAGACAGTCATGGTCTCTACCCTCATGCAAATCATCCCACCCAAAATGTATGGGTAAAAATTCAGATAAGGGTCAGGAAGGAAAAGTTGAGGAACTATGAAAGGGAATAACCAGGTTACCTCATTTAAATTTGGAAAAGGCTCAGAAGGAATCTTTGAGGAAAGGATTTTAAAGCTAACATTTCAAAGGACCGAATCTGCTTTCTTAAGAAGATCACTCTAGCTTTGATATGAAGAATATATTGGAGATGGGTGGAAAACATGGCATTGTGAGGCTGTTGATGAGGAAGACTGGACAAGAGTTTTGGGTGGTCCAGCCAAGTATCTAGGTAATGGGGATTAAGGGAGAAGTGGAAGGTAGGAAATATCAGATGCAGAGTCAGGAGGATCCAGTCATTGAATGGGTGAAGTGATACAGGGAGAGGGACACGTCTGGGAGCTGCTGGTGCAGGTTTCTGGCTAAGGTGGAAAGTAGATGGTCACACTCTTCACTGAGAGAGGGAATTAGGGGGAATTAGGGAATTAGGAGGAGTAGGATGGGCGCAGGGGAAGATGATGTGTCCTGTTTTGGAGAACCACACCACACTCCCTGTCACTCAATACCCTGTACTTCTGGTCTCCTTATCTTTGCTCACACTGCCTCCTCTATTCACACCCTCTTCACACCACTATCTCCACTTGTTGACATCCTTCCATCCTTTGATCTATTTCAAACACCACTCCCTTCTCAAGGCCACATTTGAGTCTTTCAGTTGACTGTGACCTCTGCTGCTTGGAGCGCCAAGTTTGGACCTGTAAGAATCCCAGCTTTGCTGCATGTGACTTGTCTGGGCAATTTATTTAAGCTTTCTGGGCCCCAGTTTCCTCAGCAACAGGCTACTGTGTGGATTGAATGAGTTGTTGCATGGAAAACACTTAATGTGGCACCTGGCAAAATAGTAAATGTTCAATAAAAGTTTGAGACTATCATCAATGTTATTGTTCTGTAGGCCAGGTGGGGTGGCTCATGCCTGTAATCCCAGCACTTTGGGAGGCCAAGGCGGGCAGACCATTTGAGGCAGATCAGGCTAGAGTTTGAAACCAGCCTGACCTATACAGTGAAACTTCATCTGTACTAAAAATACCAAAAAAAAAAAAAAAAAAAAATTAGCCAGGCATGGTGGCACATGCCTGTAATCCCAGCTACACAGGAGGCTGAGGCAGAAGAATCACTTAAACTCAGGTGGCGGAGGTTGCAGATCACTCCACTGCACTCCAGCCTGAGCAACAGAGTAAGACTTCATCTCAAAAAAAAAAAAAAAAAAAAAGAAAGAAAAAAAAAAAAGAAAGAAAGAAAAGACAAGACTTAGCTTATCTCCTCTGCTAGACCACAGGCATTTGGGGACTGGGCCTCTGCTTCTATATACTAGTTCTCCACATAGTAGCTGTCTAGCATAGTAGACTTTTGACAAATATTTGCAAAATGAACAAAAATAACCTGCTCCTTGCCATGGAAGGAAAACCAGTAGACACTGGGTTGACTTGAAAGCCACAGTATCATATTGAAATTCAAAGTGTAGGTGTTTTACTATTAAGCCAACTCAGTTTGATGCTTAGAAGATCTTTCTGTTTCTCTGACACACTAAGTTCAAAAAGTACAGGGAGAAGAACAGTCACATCCCCCATCTTAAAATTGTATTTTGAAATCATTTTTACAGCAAACACTTTGTCTATATTATTTACTGTTTGCCTTTGATGAGGAGAAGAAGCAGGAAGAGGAGGAGAGAAGGAAGAGGAGGAGGAGGAAGATAATGATGCTAATGATAAATGGGTAACATTTACTAAGTGCCCGGTATGTGCCAGGTACTGTTGAGTGCCCTGTTCATGGACTAACCCATTTGATCCTCACAGTACCCTATGAACACAGGCTGATGCTATTATTAACCTAGTTGGAAAGATGAAGAAATCAAGCTGGAGAGAGCATAAGTATTACTCAACCAAGGTCACAAAGTTAATAAGGGGTAGTGTTGGGATTCAAACCTAGAGTATGGCTCATGAGCCCATGCTCAAATGTGCTCTCCTAAGGCTGAGCACAGTGTTTGACAGAGAGGAGATTCTCACTGAATGAATAGGAGAAAGCTTTGATCTGGACCCAGGAGACCACACCTTCTACTCTTGATTCTGCCACTGCCTCCCTACACAGTCCTAAACAAATCCCTGTTTCTTTTCATATAAAATGGGGGACCTAGATATTGATATTAATAGCAACAGTAGCCAGGCATTGTGGCTCACATCTGTAATCCCAGCACTTTGGGAGGCCTAGGCAGGCAGATGACTTGAGATTAGGAGATCGAGACCATTTTGGCCAACATGGTGAAACTCCATCTCTACTAAAAATACAAAAATTAGCTGGGCTTGGTGGCATGTATCTGTAATCCCAGGTACCCAGAAGGCTGAGACAGAAGAATCACCTGAACCAGGGAGTCGGAGGTTGTAGTGAGCCGAGATCATGCCACTGCACTACAGCTTGGCAACAGAGCAAAACTTCATCTCAAAAAAAAGAAACAAAGAAAGAAATAGCAAGAGATAGTATTTGTGGTTCTGATGCCTTCTGAGGTTTTAAATAATTAAATAATTTAATCCCCACAATGATATGGAAATTGAAGCAGAGAGAGATTAAGTCATCTGTCTAAAAGCTAGAAAATGAGAGAGGCAGGTTCAAGGCCCTTCATTATGTTCCTAAACTATGCTCTCTAGCCCCAGTGGCTGCAAGGAGATGCCCCTGGGGCCACAAGGAACAGTATGAAACAGACAGACATTGGGCTTCACCTACCCATTTTCATCAGAGCAGCTTTACACGTCTCTCTTTTGTAGAATGAGTTCCTGTTTGACATTTCCTTTAAAGAAAGGGTCTCTGCTAATACACAAAAGGTTGAAAACCACTGGACCAAATTAATTCTGAAATTTAATGAGACTCCCAGGTATAAGCTTGTACTTTTCTGGTAATCTTAGCTCACTATGACCACATAAGATGGAGACCAAGATTGAGTGTGAGAACAGCCCCAAATGCAGAAAAGGGCATATAACAGTGCTAAAGACGCAGCTCCCACCTACCTGCTCTACTCGGATCTCGATCTCTCCATTCACCTTCTTCCCATGGAAATACTTGGACCTGTAAAGGAGAAGAAATCGGCTGGGTAAGGACGCAGGCTGTTTTACTCTTTTCTCCCTTCTCCCAAAGGCCTTACCCGAGAGGTGCATACCGAGACACACCCTTCGCCATCCTACTCTCTCCTCCCACCTTCACTGCTGATTTTCTTATCATTTATGGGTGGTGTGTGGTAGAGGGGAGATGGTGGATAGGAAGACTGCAGTTTCAAGTTCTGGTTCTATCATGTCACTTGACCCCCCCTGCATCTCAGTTTTAGCCTCTGTAAAAGAACAATATTAATAACTGTGCTACATATTTCTAAGGGTTACTTTGAGGATTAAATAAGAAAAAGAATCCTACACAAAAAGGTTCTAAATGAAAGCTATGCTAACTACCCTAATCCAATCATTATACATTACATGTGTCACAGCACCACTACTTACCCATAAATATGTAAATCATTGTGTATCAATTTTTAAAAGAATTAAAGGATACAGTGTTTTATCCACATTTCTCTTAAATTCATGATTTTCACATATATGTTAATCCTGTCTCCCCTACCCTTTGAAGGCAAAACCACACATGGTTTATCTTGGTATACTCCCACCCTGAAATTTAGTCTTCAGAAATATGTTGAACGTATAAAAGAATGATGATTGCTATAAAGTGTGTAATTTAAAGACTTTAGAAAACACAGTTTTGTTCAATCTAGTTTCATTCTCAAGTATATATTTTTGTGTTCTTTTAACATTAAAAATGTTATAGCATTTTAGTTCTTAACAAAAGTCAATGTTTTGGTGATGCCCATTATCCAAATATTCTAACTATCCAAAAAAGAGAATACTGCATAAATAATACAGTATTGTTTTATTGAGTTATACCTATACGTCCTATGTACTCCACCAAACACTTATCAGTTATCCACTCTCGCCCATTTCTCATTTTTCTTTGTCTAATGAAGCAGTCCTCATTTGTTCCTTTGAACATCTACCATCTATCCATCCATCCGTCTATCCATCCATCCATCCATCCATCCGTCCATCCTTCTTTCTATAGACTTTCTTCTACATCCCTGCCTCTGTCTTCCCCATCATCAGTACATGACAACTCTGTCTACCCATTGCTTAAGATAGAAATGTAGACATCATCCTTGATATCTCTTTCTCCCTTTCTATACTCACTGATTCCACATTTTAATTATTTCTCAAATTCACTTACCTGGTCATTTTTCTCCATAAGCACCCTAATCTTGACCTATGATTCATCTCTCTACTGAGAGTCTCTTCACATTTTCTTCATACTATTTATTACAACTATAATTAATTATAATTAGTAACTGTGTTTAATGCCTGTGTATCACTAAACTATAATATAGCTCCTTGAGGTCAAAAACAACCTATTGTCTTCATCATTTTCTTCCCAACACCTACTCGAGTGCTTAACACATAGTAGGAGCTCAATTAATATTTGTTGAATGAATACATGAGTGAAGGGACCAATGAAAAAACACTTGTTGAGTACAAACTCTGTGCCAGAAACTCTGCTATAGAGTTTAACCTACAGCCTTTCTCATTAACACTCACAACTACCACCACCATGAAGTAGGTATTATTATTTCCAACCTACACATGAAGAAACTGAAACCCTGAGAGACTAAATACTTTGCCTAAGGGATTTGAACCCAGGACTTCTAATTCCATATCTGTGCTTTTGCGCAACTCTGAAAAATAGCAGTGAAAACTGGGGTCTTTCTGGGTTTAGATATCTCACAAAAAGTAACAAAAGTTTCCATTTTCTCTTTTTGATTATTGGTATGATGACACTAACAGTTCTTGGTGACTTGCTGTGAACTGGGCATGGTGTTAAGCATTTCCATAAACCTTCTCTGGGACAGAGATAGTGCTTTGCTTCTTAATACTCATTATCTCCTTTTTCCTCAGTAAGAGAGTTTACAGATTGGTACATAAAAATGTGCATCCCAATGCCCCCATCAGCTGGGTGCAGCCACATGATTGATTTCTAATGGATAATTTTTTAAGCATTAAAGAACCTTCTTAGTCTCCTGTTCTTTACCTTCAAAGATTGGTGTCATCAGCCATTTTTTTAGCCTTTCATTTGTGAAAGAATCCTTTCTATTAATTCACTAACTGCTTCAGCCTGTCTGCTTCCAAAGTCTCTCTACCTAGTCTTAGCTGATGCCAGTGGAGTTAATCTCTTCCCAAGACTGACTGACAGCTCTGATATTAGCACCACTTTTTCTTATATCCTGATGGGCTTAGATGTCAACTAGGCAGGACTTTAGTAGGAAAGGAACCATTAGTGGGACTCAAAAGCAAGATTTTTATTTTTTTTCTCTCAGCAATGGTCTTCAATAAAATACCTGTGTGGACAGCCTCATGCAAAGAGAATCTTTTCACACAGTTTGTGAACTTTATCAGGAATCCTTAAAGGTAGTATCAGCAAATTCCAGACACCGGGACAGGCCCGTATCTAGTATTTGCAGCATCTGGGGCAAAGTGACAAATGGAAACCTATGTGTCATATGTCTAATATTTAAAATTGACAAAATCAAGCCAGCAAACATTTGAATAAAAGATGTCTGTCTTCCTTCCTTGACAGACACAACTTCATAATGACCTTAAAGACTCAGAATGTAGACTTCTCAGAATTTTTTGCACTCTACCCAGCACATGGCAGCATGGGGATTGCCAGCTTTTGGTTCTCAGACCTCACCCAAGATCCTCCCTAATTCTTCACCCACTCTCCTCTGTCCTGCACCACTGAGGCTCCTGGTGGCGGTATGTAGATGACCCAGACCATGTGGCCAAGCTTCTTCTACTCCCTTCCCGTCCCCAAATGGTTGTCCTTTGGCCACCACATAAAGGTTGGACCAAGGAATTGGCTTATATACGCCCTGAAGTTGAGCTAAGGTCCCTTTGCAGAGGGAATTCTAGAGTTTGGGTACCCAGGTCAGGACCTAAGGGTACAATTTGCAGGGTCTTTGTAGGTACATCCCCTCAGTCCTAACTCCTCTGCCTGTCAAGAGAGGTGTGGCTAATAAGGACCAGAGCAGGATCCAAGGTAGGTGTCCCTCTTGGATTTAAACAAGTCATTTGCTTTTAATCCAAGCTCCAAATTTAAAAGAAGTACTGGCTGGGCCTGGAAACGGGAATGGTAACCTATGATTACAATCACTAGCATACTGGAAAAAACGATGGATTTGCAATCATACAGGCTTGGGCAAAATCTTAGCTCTGCTATTCACCAACCATGTGTTCTAAGACAAGACACTTAGCCCTCTGGGTCTCAGTTTCCTCATTTGTCAAGTGGTGATAGTCATTACCAGGGAAGGGTGTGGTGAGAAAGTCATTTAATCCTCTGTGCAACAAGGAGGAAAGTGCAGTGGCTTCAAGATAGATAGCCTGGATACGACCCCAACTCCTCCACTCACTTGTGCAAGCTTGGGTAAGTCAAGCTCCACATGCCTCAGTTTCTACACTTAGGAAATGAGAATAACAGTAGCAGCTACCTCACAGGGTTGTTATGAGGATTACATGGAACAAGACATACAAAGCACTTAAAATAGTCCCTGGCACATAGTAAGCTCCAAAGTGTATAGCCCACAGCCTGAAACAGAATCCGCAACAGCAAAGAGCTATTGAGTGTTTACCCTGTGCCTAGTGGGGGCTGCGTTGTGGGGACCCACAAATAAACAAAGCAATCTTACCCTCTTGGGGATGACAAAGCAGAATTATGGTTCACCTCACTTTGATCTGTCCCAGAAGTGCAAGGAATGATGGCTGGTGATGGGGATAAAGAGGTGGCCTTGTTCTATAAGGACAGCCAGCCCCTTCACATCCTTCTTCCTATTTGACCCTCATGCCAACCCTGAGGGGTGGTAGGGCAGGGATCACTCCCCACATGTTCCAGATGGGGAAGTCTCTGCTCAAAGTCACTTGAGTGAGCTGGGTATTCAAACCTAGAGGGAAGAATTTCTAGCCTCTCCTGGAGATACTCTCTAAGTGATCTTTAGGTTTTTTTAGATCCAGTCCAGAGCTCTGGCATCCTTCATGATCTGGACCCTGTTGGCTGGGGTCCACTTACCCCTTCCACTTCCGTCTACTTCATGGCCACATTCAACTTCCTGCGCTTCTCTAAATACTCCCTGTGCTGTCATGCCTCTAAGCCTCTGCACAGGCCATCCCCTCTGCTTGGCACTTCTTTGGTTGCCTCTTTCTCATGCTCCAAGATCCCCATGAGTCATATCTACTCTGTTGAGTTTTCCTTAATAGCACCCCCTTCCCTGGCTGGGCTGAGTGTCCTCCCTTGGTTCCTACAGCACGGTGTACTTACAGCCATTCCAGCCCTTACCACTCCACGTTGTCATTATGCATCACTTATCTGTCCTCTGCCCCCAAACATCTAGTCTATGAGCTCCTGGAAACTAGAAACTGAGTCTCAATGCTCAGTGTGTCTCAGTATCCGGCATTATGAGCTAGGGCCGAGGACGTAGGCTTAACAAATGTTCGCTGACCGTAGTGTGGCCTTTCCTGGAGACACTTGACTGCCATCTACTGGCACACCACTGTAATAAATTTACAGATCTACAGCCGTTGCGATGTGGGGGCATGTTCTGAGGCAAACCTGTGCAACTGGCAGCCCTAAATGTGATTCTAACCTGGAACCCGAAGCACTTTGCACTACTACCAATACCACCCAAGCAGCTGTGGTCTCAATGAGGCCTCACCTTCCCAGGAGAAACATTTGTTTTGCCCATCTCTGGAATGTTTACTGCAGGGCCTGGCAGACAGACTGGGGCTGAAGCTGAGGGTCAGGCAGTCCATCCCCCTGCCTGGCTGCAAGTCAGAAGTCTGTCTCCTGATGGGCCACACAGACTGCTGCCTCCTTGCCGGGGGCTCATTCAGGCTTGAGCCACCTCTGAACGGTTCTGTCTGGCAGAGGGAAGAGTAGGGATGGTCTGGAATTCTAGATGCCTTTGGGGGCTGGGGTTGCTGCCTCTG